AATGAGAGCTGGGCAACAAACGTACTTATGAACTAGTGCATTTATATGGAAAACGAGTATACAGTATTTACCACAAGAGAAAGTTGTGTTTTCTCTGCAAAGTTAGGTCACAGAAGGGAGAACAGTACTCACACATAATTCTGGAGGGATCGAAATGAACAGTAAATGAGCATTTGGGTCAATACACATTGTTAACAAATAGCATTCGCTAGCATTCATGATTTGGGAAAGCTATCTCCAAGGCTGGATTAATGTGAGTTTATTTTGCTTTGCCCCCTCGGTGCAAGTGTGGGACAATCAACTGACCTTTTCAGTTTATCAGTTTAATGAAAGTCACCTCTCAGCCTTCTCATCTTTAAGTTTGATAATAATGAAAAATAAAGCCCAACCAGATTGTTTTGACCTTTTCTCCTAGGCACTCTTTTCCCATTAGCATTATTACTTTCCTCAGTAAAATGGAGGTGAAATACACGTATATCATATTTCATAAACAAGACAAAATTCTGATGCATTATCAGCAGTTTATGTTTTTTAAAGAGGAAAACCATATGCTGTAAAATGTGTGCTGCACTATCTGGAGTTCTTAATGGAAATTCCAGGAGGTAGAGATCTCTACAAAGTTACCACACATCCATAGGGCAACTAATTGCCTGTCTTCTGACAAAACCCCAATGAGACCCGACTCCTGGACAGCTGAGCCCAGAGTCCTGCCACTCACCTCCATTTCTAAAACTTTCTTTCTCGTGCTTGCTGGGGGCCAGTGCTGGGTAGCTCAAGCCAGAGCCAGGGTTGTGAGTCAGGATCACTACTGAGCTGTTCGTTTACCCCAGTTCTCCTACAAAATGAAATCCCTATGTTTGGCCTCCTATCACTGTGTTGTGTTGCTCTTGGTGATTTTGCTTTATTATTGTTGTTGCTATTTTATATACTTAGAATTGTTTCTTAGCTTTTAAATCTAGTTTGGATTTGAGATCCACAATAAATTATATCATTTAAAGATGAAAAATATAGATATTCTTACATCAGCTTGGTTCAGTTTTCAGACTTATCCAGCTCTTTGACTTTATTCAGAAACCAACAATTCTGATTGGCCTTCACTTTTAAAAAGTGAGGAACCTGTTCCAGTTTACTTGGATTTGGATATGCTCTATGTTGGGATGAGGAAGCATCCCTTACTGAAAGAGGTGGTATGCGTTTTTCTACAAAGTTAGATGAAATTTGTACTTTTCCCTTGGCTGAGTACACATTCTGAATAAACAAAGATACTCTCCGGTTCCTAAGGGTAAGGAATGAGGACTATGCCTCTCTCCTGGCTTTCCCACAAGATCTCCCTGGTGATTACTGGCACAGACTGAGGAGTTGTGTGGGATGATATAGAAAGAAGCTAACAATTCTTGAAAACCTACTGTGTGCCTACTGTGCTTAATATATATTCGCCTCGTCTCATTTAATTTTCTTGACAATCCCATAAGGCGGGGTGCCTGGTGGCTCAGTGGGTTAAGTGTCTGCCTTTGGTTCAGGTCATGATCCTGGGGTCCTGGGATCAAGCCCCGCGTCCTGCTCCCTGCTCAACGGGGAGTCTGCTTCTCCCTCTCCTTCTGCCCCCCCCCAACTCGTGCTCTCTCTCTCTCTCTCTCAAATAAATAGTAAAATAGTCTTTAAAAAAAACCCACAATCCCGTGAGCCAATGACCATTTTCTTTATTGTAGAGATGAAGAAACTGAGGCCCCGAGAGATTAGGTAACTAGCCTGACATCACAGAACCAGAAGTAGCAGAGCAGAGAAGCAAACAACACTTCCTCAAATTCATGGCCAGCATCTTTCTGTGCCCCACACTGCCCATCTACAGACTCGGGTGGCTTGGGGCCCCCGAACTCCTCACTAGGACAAGGGTCTAGTCTTTGAATAAAGTCCCATGCATTCGTCTTAGGTTTAGAGACAACCAGAATATCAGAGCAGAGACTTCGGAGATCAGGCAAGCATTTGCTTAACCACTGCTTTCCTAACCTCTTCTTTCTGGCCCTTCACCTTGAACGGGGGGCAGGCACTCATGTTCCGTGCTGACAGGGACTGAACTTCTTTCTCAAGGCCTTGAAAGAGGCTCCATTTGTCTTTTTAAAGACAGCTGTGCACCAACAGCTACACTGTTGTTGTTCAGAGGCCTTAGCGTTCCTCATTTCAAACTGATTACTTCTTTATTATCTTAATATAACATCACTGACCATCTGGCTGATTTGAAATATGAACGAGACTCATCCCAGACAGTAATGATTCGCAGGTGGAGCACCAAATCTATAGGGATATTCAGGGCGTTTGCTTTAAAAAATGATGATTTTTCTAACCTGTGCTAACTATACCTTTATCCTTATTGAGAGAATTCCATCATTTTAATACTTTGGTACTGTTTTGCTGGTAAGTTCAGAGATAATGTAAAAAGGAAGTATATTTTTTTCCTTTTTATGGATTAAAAAAAGTTCAGAATTTTCATTTGCACCTTATCCTTTCTTATTGTTTCTATGTTGCAAGCAAAATGTTATTTGATTTAAATCAGCATTAAGCACATTTCTTTGAGAGAGACCAAATAGTGTGATTTTTGGATATACTGAGTAGACTTCTTCCCACAACAAGTTTGTGCTTTGAATGTGAGCAGCTAGTTTGACTCTGAAGCGAGCAGTGGGCACTTCAGGATTCGTTGTCAACAGGCACCAAAATGCTTATGAAAGAACTTTCTGTGTGAGTGTTTAGATACCCCTTCTCTCTAGGGGTACAGTTGTGTGCTCTGGGCCTAGATCTCCATTATGTAGTTTCATAGTTTATTTATTAAATGTCTGTCACATGCCAAGCACAGAATTGTCTTCTATACATTATCACATCTCATTTAATCCTCACAACAATCCCATGAAATAGTTATGGAATAGGTATATAATATTCTCTCTTCTTTTCAGATAAGGAGGCTGAACTTTAGGTAGATCAGTTTCCCAGTGGTTACACAGCTAGTGCCTAATGATTGCAGGGCTCACCAGCTGTTTGCCTTTTTTTTTTTTAAGATTTTATTTATTTATTTGAGAGCGAGAGCACAAGTGGGGGGATGAGGCAGACGGAGAGGGAGAAGAAGGCTCCCCGCTGAGCAGGGAGCCCAACGTGGGGCTCGATCCCAGGACTCTGGGATCATGACCTGAGCCGAAGGCAGACTCTTAACGACTGAGCCACCCAGGCACCCCTGTCTGCCTTTTTCATCTGTAACAGCTTGCCTAGGAGTGAACTAGGTGGAGTTTTAGGAGATGAAGCTGAGAAAGTGATGGAGGGCTCTGAACTTTATTCTAAGTGACATACCAAACTTTGGGTTCATTTATTCATTCAGTACCTATTTAATGGGCACCTAATGTGTACCAAACAGGCTGGGCATTAGGGGCATCATAGGGAACCAAGAAGGATAAACCCCTGCCTTCTGGAAGCTTACATTCTGGCTATGGGAGGTTTTGAACAGAGAAATGACATGATCCGGTTTCACTCTTACAAGGGTCCTCTGGCTGCAGGGGTGAGAGACTGCTGCAGAGAGAGCAATTAGGGGGTGACAGCAGCCTGGGCAGAAGACAGTGGGGTTTGTACCACAGTGCTAGCACAGGTGAGAAGCTGGGTTCTAGATGGACTTAGGAGAAAGCATCAAGGGGATTTTCTGAGCAATTCAATACCGAAATTTCTCACCCAGGCTTTAATGAGAACTCAGGTCAGCCTACATCCTAAACCTGTGCTCTTTTAATTATGTTAAAATGCTCACATATAAAGTGGCTTCACAACAATATTCAATTTAGTAGAAAATGTAGCTCCTCTTCTGTTCCTTAGCACTAGGCTTACGAAAGGAGAATCCTCGTTGGTGCTGGGAGGAGGCAGGTCTGAGCTCCATTCCCCAGGAGCATTTCCCATCCAGACTGCGGTTGACCAGCCTGTTCCCTCAAAGGCCACGTGCCCAGGTGGCCGCCCTTGTGTGTTTACACTTGAGATTTGTGGTGGGTCCATCTCAGAGCCACTCAGAGTCCTTCCCTTTGGCTCCCAGGAGGATGGATCCTCTTAATAAGATTCAAGCCCAGCTTCTTGTTTTTCTGTCATTGTTATTTCTCTGAAACAGCATTATAAGGTCCAAATCAGAACAGATTTTAATTCTTGGTCACAAAATGGGACTTTTAGTGTATTGTGTTCCCATTTTTTTTAAGTTTGAGAAACAGACTTCCTAGTAGTTAACTTCTATTGAGCAGACATAGTCACTCAAAAATGGTTCTAGATGTGCCAGATCTGCCAACAACTTTAATAACTTCCAAGATACAAATTTGTATTTCCCAAGTCAACGAAATCGTCACCAAGCTGTTTGTGAAGTAATAAAGTAAGTAAAATGTCATCTGCATTGCATTTGTTTTCATTGACCTTAAGTGAATAACCTTGTATTTCCAAATAGTAGAAGAGAATGACCATGGGTAGCCATAAACATCACCTCTGCTTGGCCTCCGTGACATCACCGAGGATAGCATGGGCAGCTAGCTATCCTTGTGGATTGAGATTAAGAAGCAATCCCCTACACACCTTATCTGGAAGTAGAGCCAAATGTTTGGGTTTCAGTTAATCATTGGAAGATTCCCTGATCTGACTAGAGTCCTGCCAACTGCATCTTCTATATGCGATCTAACATTCCACTGACCTTGGCCATCCACTGGGTTCTGCTGGGCAGGTTGTCAGTTCAGGATATGATTAGAGGCTCTCACTTCCTGGCCTGTAGGCAGCATTTGCATAGCCCCCTTTCTCCATTAACCTGCCCTGGAGATCAGCCCTGAGGGTGCTTCTTTGCTGTGTCAGCCACACTCTGAATCAGGCAGCAGCCTCATCAGCAAGAGGTGAATATGCATGCCTCTGATGTCCTCCTGCCTCCAGAATGCAGATGAGGGGCCTTGCCATTTCCTAAAAAATGTAAAATCAACTGAAGGATCACTTATTTTATTATTTTTTCCCAGGGCTGCGACCAAAGAGGACTCTGCGTTTGGTGCTCTGGACTGCAGAGGAACAAGGTGGAATCGGTGGCTTCCAGTATTACCAGTTACACAAGGTAAGAAAGTAGCCATGGGTCTCTGGGCATTTGCATGTGTAATTAAGGTGAATAACCCAAAAGCATCCCTGCTTCCTTCTATTGTCCTGAAGACTCTCAACAATACTTTTTGGTGGGCTGACCCCAGCTAACACCCCTTGCAGAAGCCTTCTTCATCGGGTCCCATAGCAGAGAATGCACTGGTGAACCAGGGGTGTGGAGCTGAGGGCGTCTCTATTTCTACATCAGTGTGTGACCTGAGAAAAATCCCAGCTGCCATGCCGTTTTCTTAAAGTCTCTCTGGTTCTGCTGTACTCTCACATGCCGGAGAAATAGTAATAGGTAAGCATTCCCTCTGCCCACAGAGCCCTCTCCCATACTTTAATGCCCTAAGTTGTCCTGGAAGCACTATGGTAATTGAGAACCAAGTCCTGGGGCCTTGCGTCAGCAGGAGCCCTGATAATGGTGGTGGGAATGGCGGCAGCTCAGACCTGGCCATGTGGAGGACGGCTTGGGTTGACACTGACTTTAGTAAGATAAAAGTGAAGCTTGAGGCAAGAAGGTGATAGCGGAAGATCATGATTAGAAATACGAGACCACGTTTAAGACCGGGGACAGGGAGATTAATGTGGACAACCACTTTGAGAGAGGGCAAAGTGTACAAGCTCAGAGATACTCTGGAGCAAATCAAATGTGAGTTCAAAGAGGAATTCCCAAATCAAGGGGTATGCTGCCGAGCAGTGATGGTTGGGCGGAGGAGCAGGGTCTGGCCTGCTGCTGCGGGATTGTTTGTCCTGCATTTCAGATTAGAAAAAACAGATTTGCAGGCTTCCATTATCAAAATCAGAGAGGTTTGATTTTTTGAATTGTGTTTGTATCCTTTTGGATCATTTACGGAGTCGGTCTCTATTACCCTATTTCAGTTAGTTAGAGCTTAAGAGTAATGAGCTCAGGGGCATGAATTTGACCACTGAGTATAGTTATGTACTGTACAAAGGAAAACCATACTTTATGCTCAACTCTTCTACCTCTTCAGTTCCTTAGGCCTCAAGTGATTCTGGGGAATAAGACTATTCCAGATAAATGTCCTGTGGTTGGTGGGTCAGTAGCATCAGCTCCTATATGTTGTAGTGGACTAGAACATCAGAGGAGAGCTATTCTGATTCAGCAACCTTCATTTAATATTTCTGACCACCTACTATGCTTCATATTAGGCTCTAGGATTAGTGTCATTTAACGATTCACCCTAACCTTACCAAGACTCCAATCTAAAGGACACCAACCACTGAACTTCAATTATACTATAATGTGTGAAGTGTTCTGATAAAGTATTGACGGCAGAGACAGGAAGCTCGCCTAACCTGGCCTGGGAGAACAGTCAGGATAGGCTACATGGAAGAAATGACGCCGAAGCAGAGACTTAAGGACTTAATAGAAGTAAGCTAAGGAAAAGGAGTTGGCAGGGAATTGGGTGGCGGGAACTGTACCTGTGAAGGCTGGAGGTAAAGTGAGCACAGCAGTCTCCTCAGGGGTTCAGAGTGGCTGGTGCACCGAATGCAAGCTGCAGAGCGTAGGAGGTCAACAAGAGCCTGAACAAGAAGAATATATACATCATGTTTAGAAGTTCGCACTTTATCTTGAGGCAACAAAAGTAACTGAATTATTTTTAAGGAGGAACTTTTAGATTCTATACATCTAAACAGAATACCTGAGAACTGTTTGGAAGCACATTTATTCTCGATAATATACTCTACTCCAAGAAAAAAAAATGGATTTAAACTGCAGTGGATCTGGCTTGAACTTTCCTCAACCACTGCAATTCCTTAGATCTGAAAAAAGGTTTATTCCTCTGTAAGGTTTTGAGTTTCACTGTAGCCTACCAAAATATGTGAAATACGTGAAATCAGAAATGACTTGATTCTAAGCTTTTAGGAGGTTGGCAGAGAAATATATATATACATTTTTTTCCAGAGGATGTGCAATCACATTAACAGAACTGGTTTATCTTGACAATTTCCATGTTGCCTCTATACAAGAATCTATACATTGGTAGCTGGTCTGCTTTGTATTTTCAGGAACGGAAAGAGATTCCAGAAAAGGAAGTATAGGCTTTTTACTTTTAAATAGTTCTTTATCTCACCTTTAAAAAAACATTCTGCGTGTTTTATATGAGACAGTCAATTTCAAAAGACTTATTCTGTATTCTCATGTTTAACATACTGAATGAGGCATTGTCAAGAGCATCATCATTTCTGGGGTGGCTGAGTTTCCCTTTAAGTAAATATAATAAGCAAGGACCAAGCCAGGGAGGACAAATAAGATTGTCTTTAAACTTCTCTGTAGCACTTTTTAATGCCAAAAAACAGCAAACAATGTCCAGTTCACTCCAGCCACAACAAATTGATCCTCTGATCTAACTAAGGTTGTGATAGTTACTGAAATGAATAAGCCCTACCATTCCAGTGGTTCAGCATAATAGAGAGTTATTTCTTGCTCATTTACCATCCAGTCTCCAGGAGGGCTTGCTCCACGTAGTCATTCAGGGGTCCAGGCTGATAGACTCTTCAGCAACATGACTCCCAGTGTTGCCTTGAGCATCAATATCCAGCTGGCAGTCAGAGGGAGAGGGGAAAGGTTTTATGAGACAGTTCTGGAAATGGATGTGGAAAGGCAAAGAGAGAGTTTATGTTTGCTTAACTGAAGTCTGAAAGGATCTTTATCGTCCACTAAGCATGGTTACCTCTCAGCGAAAACTAGGACTAGGTGGATATAGTAAGTTATATAACTGTATTGTTTTAATTCTTGTGAAATAAAAATAATGAAAGAAGACAATGAAGTAAAAGAACAGGGGCATCAGGAAACATTTGCTTGATGGAAGTTTCTATTTCATATTAAAAACAACGCCGTATCTTACAAACCACAAATGGCAGACAAGGGAATATATCCTTCCTCCTCCTGCAAGTATACCTGCCGAAACATTTGAAGTACAAGCATAGAATGGTACCACATCTGAACTTTCCAAGGCTTTGTGTTTTGCCTTCTCCCTTCAAATAAGAAACTAAACACACCACTGGCTATCAGAGAACTGGTTCTGACCTTTGTTCTGCCACTAAGTAAATATGAGGTCCTCTGGCCTCTCAGACACGGAGTTTCCTCAACTCAACTTATTAAAGTTTATCTTCCCCTCCCAACCCTCATGATGTAGAGAGAATCTCATATAATAAGTGTGCTTTGCTCTATTGAAAACAAAGTTATAATATTATTTACAATTGAAATGTACAATTAAGCATGCCATTCTAAGATCTAGTATTATTATCTGTGAGGGAAAAAAGACAATAGTATCTTCAGCAGTACAACTATAGATCAGTAAACTATTATTAGAAATTTACTCTACAACAGACACTCCAGCCTGAAGGAAGCCCGGTCATCATCTCTGTCACATTTGCCCCTCCTTCTCTATTGTTTCTACTAATGACAGCCTCATCCTCCCTCCCACCAGCTGTCACAGCGTCACTGGGACTTTTCCTTCCTTCCCCTTCCTGTGACCCACATCTAGTAAATGGTCAAGTTCCATTGATGCTACATTCTGTCACTTTCGGTGAACTCTTCATTTCTATGTCCCCTGTCTTTTCTCTAGTTCAGGCTTTCCATTATACCTACCATATCAAGTCACTCTTCCGGAAGCCCAGCTCCATTCAAATAAGCCCTCTGCCTCCAAATCTTCAGTTGTCCCCCAGTGCTAAAAGAACCTAGCCCAAGCTGCTCAGCTTCTTGGTCCTTGCGGTCCTCCCTGCCCTGGTTTCCCACCATCCTCCTCCATCGTCCTCCAGTCTGACAAAAATGAGCAGCTCCTTATGTATCCCACACTGGCCTTTCTTCACATCATTAATCATACCGCCCCTCTGCCTTGAACTCTCCTCTTTCCATCTCCTGCATGTTCTACAAGGATGAATTGAAATGCCCTCTTTCCCATAGAACATTCTCTTAACGCTCCAACCCCTATTTCTATCCTTGAAATAAATACAACACCTTATCTAGACATTTCTAAGGATGTGAAATAGTTTCTAACCTACAGGAAAGAAGAAAGGAAAGAAGGGAAGAAGGGAGGAAAGAAAGGGAGGGTGCAAGAGGGAAAAATGGAAGAAAGGGAAGAGAAAATAAACGAAGTCACAGTCTTTGGCCATAAGGATCTTACATTCTGCTTAAATACTAACTTTAAACTGACACATAAGAAATTTAGTATAACAAACAATATATAATGGGGTTCTAAATTATTTACTAAAAGTATCTTACTTTTACAAAGGACTCTATCACTGACAGGGTGCAGAGTACTGTAAAGGCTTAGCATAGCAGATGCAAAGGAGTTGAGAAAAGGGAGAAATGGCTAGGACATGTTGGTCATGAGGAAGGCTCAGGACCTAATCCTTGAGGAATACGTGGGTTTGAGTGAGTAATCAGGAAGAGAGAAAAGGGAAGGCTACTCTCCTTTATATTGATGATGACTGAGACCTGAGGTATGCCTTTGGCTCCGGTGTAGATGCTATCAAAGAGGAGAGGAACTTTTATTTGGGGAGAACCTATTCTGGTGATTGTAAAAATAAGGGATTTGAACTTTCAAAATAATATTCCTAGCATTTTTATGGTACAGTTATGGTTATTAGTGATCTATATCAGGAAGGGACCAATAATCTGTGGCCCGCAGGCCAAATCCAGCCTGCCACCTGTTTAATAATGTACAGACCTCAGGCTAAGACTGTTCTTTACATCATTAGCTGACTGTGCAACAGAGACTATATGCCTGCAAAACCTAAAATATTAAACATCTGACACTTTATAAAGAAGTCTGCTGACCCTTAATCTATATGACAAAAAGCATAAAATATTTTCATGCTGTTATTTTCATATAACGATTTCTTTATGGCTTTTTATGACTTAAGTGATAATTTTATTAATTTTGCTTGGAGCCAATTAAATATTCTCCAGGAAGATACTATTATAATACTATAAATGCACATATACCA